GGGAGATTGGGGGGGGGGTTTGTTTGTGTGTTTTGAAAAGCAGCAGAATCCACTTCTACTTGTTTGTTTTATTTACATGGAGCTAAAGCTAACTGCTAATGTTTCTTCCCCACCCCCTCCAATAGTTTATGACCTGAAGGACAAGAACCACATATTCGAAATGGCTTCAGAAATGTCAGAACTAGCAGCTACCAAGAATCTCACCACCCAGACTACATTTTTTTAAAAATAATTTTGAATTCTTACTGTTGGGGAAAACAAGAAAACACTCTATCTAAGTGAGCTGGGAAGAATGTGCATCCTCCACATGGACATAGCGCATTTTGAGGACGTTAATCTTCCCTCACGCACACAAATGTTTTCGTTTTCTTTTATTCACATGATTCTAAGTATGTTTTTCAGATAGGACAGTTTTGAAACCCTGATGTACAGTTACAGTGTAAAAGATCTCTTTCATTGCAACATATTGCAACATATCATCTATAAACTATAGTAAACATCTTGTCTGTTTTGAAGAGACTGTGACAATAAACATATCAAATAAGAAATCCTGTTAACAAGTAAAAATAATTTTGCATCTTCTTTTTCTTTTTTTAGGCCATTAGAAGGTTCTTAACCTAAGTCGGTGAGTGTGTTCTCCAGTCTCCCTCCTCCCTTGGTGAAGCACTGATAACCCTCAGTGATACTCCTGGTGGAGTCTCACAACCTTTCTCAACATGGCCTCCAGAGTTACCACGGATGATGACACACGCACAGACAGAAGTATCTGTCATCACAGCACCAGCTCTGCCTTTTTATTGCAAAACAGTGTTTACAACCTACTGGCAGGGGAACACATGGTTGGATTTCTTTTTAAATCTAGCAGAAGGATACATTACATGAGATTTCTGCACATTTCCTCATTCTGTGTGAACATTTGCCAGGTTGACCTTAGGGATAGAGATTAGGCTCAGAAAAAAAAAACAAAAACATGTTGTATTTGAAGCTAAGAAGCTGATCCAATGCCTTGGACTTGGGTTGATAGCAAGTGGCCCAGATAGCCACAGAGCTGCTTAGTAAGTCACAGATCTCAAAGATAAGGCACACATGGCCATGTGTGTGCATATGTGTGCACTCGCACATGTGGGTAGGGCTAGATGATGGAGAAAAGTCTGAAAGCAGGTAAGAGATGACAAAGAGGAGAGGTAAGATTCAAAGTCTTACAAGATCTAAGAAATCACTCTGATCTCAGAAAAGTAAACCCTGTAACAATATCAAAGTCAAACCAACAGGCATGCCGGTAAAAGGCTTTCATTATTTGCCTTATTTGGACCCAGTCCATGTTTCTATTTAATTGCTCTTCTCATTTTCTTGGGTAATAATTATAAGCTAACTTTTCAAATAAAATAAAATTGTTTCTCTGCTCTACAAAGATTGGTTATGAAGCAGGTTAAGGCAAGTATCCCTCAAGCCCTTGTCCTAGGCAGTAGGTCTTGGGCGTTGAGCGTATGGGACTGAGTTAGGAAGGCTGTTCTTACTCCAGATCTTTCACTAACTATATGAAGACAAGTGACTGAGGAGGGTCAGTGAGCTCTTGAGGTCTCATTTGCTTGTTAGATAGATATGTTAATAGGATGTGTGTGTGGTGTGTGAGTACACACATGTGTAAGCTAGGGGTTGGGGAGTGGCTTACCTGTTTTGCAGGACAAATCAATAATTAGTTTTAATGTGCTCTCTTGTAAGTCTTTAATCCTACCACAGTCACTAAACTCTTTGCCATTGGTCAAGGGGTCCAAGCAGGGTAAGATGGAAAGCCTGAAAAATCCCTCATTGCCATGTGTAAGAAATCAAAGTCAACATCCTTTTAATGGCTCTGGCCCAGACTGGTGGCATAATCAGTAGCAAACTGACCTGCAGTGCTGGCAGCCACATGGTCTACGGTGGGTTCTGATCCCGAAGCAGCTTGAAAACAGGCAAGTAATGAACATGGGCACCTAGGATCCTAAAGAGTTAAGAGGGCTAGGGAAAGGGGATTGTGGCAGGACAAGACCTGGCTGAGGGGGCGTCTCTCTATATATATCTCATGTGCATGCAACTGCTCTCTATTATGAGTGAAATACACTTAAAAATGAAAGCATTCTTTTAATGACTCAGTGATACCTTCTGATAGACATCCAACAAATGGAAACCCTCCTTTTGCCTGCACTCACAGACTCCAGCCTCTTGTCTGCAAAATGGGGTAATAAAGCTTCTAAGTGAGAAATGACTTACTTTGACTCACTTCTTATGGAAACAGGACTAGGCAAAGTGTTAAAGTTACTTAGAAATACACCAATTAATGTCTGTGTTTTTTGTTGTTTTAGTTTTTGATTTTACTTTGCCAAAGGGCACATGCACTTACTAGAGACAGAGTAGGAGAAGGAAAGTAAGAAAGCATATCTCGTGGCCCTTGGAAACTTGGATCTATTTCCTAACTTCCCATACTCTGCTCTGTATCTCAGAGGTTGATTCCTGTAAACTACATTTTCTATGGTCATGGGTCCCATGGCTTCAGGTCAAATTTGGCCAGTGAGAGGCACTGGCAAGAGACTGGGAGGCTGGGAGAAGCCAGAGCATTTCTCCTCCCTCTTGGCATTGAGGGAGTGTCTGTGGCAGAGATTCCTCAGTGGTCCTGCCCCCAGCAGAAAGCTGCTCCCTCTGTGTCCCAGTTCTTCGGGTGGTGGCTCCTCTAACACCCACTATCTCCTCCCTTTGGTTCTCCTACCGGTAACAGCTGGTCTGCCTCACTGCACCTTCAGCCTTCTCAACGTTGGCAATGAATCTTCTCTACTGAACTGCTGGGCAGGGGCTCTGCCTTCCTAGCTGGACCTTGAGCGAGGTACTGCCCAGGGAGCCATTGACCTCTAGAGAACAGACACCATCTTTAGGAATATTCACGCTCCAATGAACACATGGCAGATTCTTTCCTTTGTTACTGGCAGGAAAAGTTCCTCCTGATGGCCTGGGACCTACACTGAGCGGATGGAACACTAGAAGGAGACTAGATAGTCTTATGAAGTCAAATGACCTTTGCCAAGTGCCTTAGAGCTGCAAAGATTCGAGTTTATTCATGTCATGAAGGGCAAGAGTTCATCTGGCCTCTAACCTTTGACCGGCTATTGAACTCAAACAGGGAGGGCATGGAAACGTGCTAGAAATGGAAGGGTTCATTACAAATCCAAGCATACTTTTCTTCTCATCTGAGTCACAGTTGACTTTGCTGGAATGGGAAATGGTAAAGCACTTGACTTGGCCCGATGTTGATGTCTCAGCCCGGTTTGTACCAAATGCACTAACGCAGGAGAACGGCATGGATTGGCACCAGACACAGCACGAGGGCTGGTGGGTCCTCGCTGGCCTGCTGTGCTGGGCTCCTCTTGGCCTCACACAACACCTGGGTTTATCAAAGACCATGCAGGAGGTCAGGGTAGCTTACCAATGTCCAGGACCCTCTGCTTGGCCGTGTGCTGCCGAGAGTGCCAGTACTTCCAGTACTTCAGCTGCTCATCCCGGTTTTTGTCTTCACTGAAGACCACCATCACCACGCTCTGTGGAGGGAGAACCAGGGGCTTACTCTTTGCTCAGTGCCTCGCCCACTTCTGCCACATTCTAGCTCTGAGAGTTCTACCCGGCCTGTGTTCCTGAAACGTGCCTGCTTTGTTCAGAAAAGCTCAAACAAGCTCAACTGTATTATTTACTTTATTTTAAAATAAAGCTACTTTTAAAAATAATTACTGGAAAATAACAACAGCTCAGAGAATAAAAAAGGGACCTAGGGGTCAGCAGGTGGTGTGGTGGTTAAGGTACTGGACTTCCACATTTCAAGACCTGGTAGCTCACTTTCTCACTTTCCCTTTCTCTTTCTCTCTGGTCAAATTAAAAAATAATAATAAATACACTTTAAAAGGATTTTATACCAGTTGTACCATGAGGTCATAAACAACCAGACTAACCAATTACCAGCAAATGTATTTTTTCAGGTCTCAGAAATAGCAACAGAAATTATTTTTCCTGTATTGTAAACAAGCACACTTTTGAAATAGCATCTCTTTAAACACAGAATTTGGTTCCATTTGTAAAGAATCAAACATCCGTTTTTACCTTCAGTGCCTTGGGCTAGGATCTCAGAGGTAATGAGAAAAATAGTAAGGAATCGAGAAAAATGCTAAAAGTCAAATTCATACTGATGAATGCAGAAATAAACTACGAATATTTTATACACCGAAAAATTCAAGGGCAACTAATGATATTATCTATTTAAATACAACGTGGTTATACTTTAAATGAGATTGGGAAACTAATTGTATCTTATAGAACTAAGAATTCGAAACTTCTTTCTGTTCTAAATTGCAAACAGTCTCATTAAACTAAACACAAATTGATTCCCTAATCTTTATGAATGAGGAGATACCAAAATCAGTCCCTCAGGGAGGGGGAACAAACAAATTTTAATTCCAGTATCTCACTCTATATCCAAAATTCTTCCTTACTATTCCAGAAGAATATTTCATCGACTCTAAGTCCTTAAGAATGTCTCCTTTTGGGACCAGCAGTTGGCGTAATGGCTATGTCGCTGGACTCCCACGTAGTTGACCACGGTTTGAGTCCCGGATCTGGTGGCTTAAACTCACGGCGGGCGGGTGTGCATGCATGATCCCGAGAGGAGAAAGGAGGAGAAGGGATTGTGGTGTGGCCATCCCCACTGGGGGGTGATTTCTTGCTTTCTGTCTTTCTCTCTCTGTCTTTCTGGTGAGCGCATGTGCCCTATAGCAAAAACCTCTCCAAAAAAAAAGTCTCCTTTTAGCAGCTGACACATTATTTATAGTCTACTTATTTACAGCTATCTGCCGATGATAATGTCTTCTCATTAACTTCAAACTTAACAAGAATATGCCCACTGTTCATCTCAGTGGCCCTAGAGCCTGAGAGATAACAGACAGCAAATGCATGCTGGTGGCGTCAGTTCAAAACCTAGCTCCTTCCTAAATTTTTTACACAAGAAAGCAATGTTTGTTAGAAAAGCTCATTTAGAAATACACATGCATATGATTCACATCCATGAGCAATATGGCTAAGTGACAACAAAGGGAACACTTGTCCCTCTTCTACTTCCTCAAACTTTACTATTTATGTGTAAAAGTTGATTTTGTGGCTTCCTGATGTTTATGTATGGACCCCAAATAAAAGTAAAATTTAAAGTAACTTTTGTAGCCAATGACTAAATGATATAAATAATGGCATCTTCTTGGTATGGAAATTTCACCAGTGATTAAAAAAAAAAAAAAAAGCAATCTGAAACTGTTACTACCAAGGCTTACACGCTCTGACTTGGGATGAAGCATCGTTCTCAGAAATTAATGCTGATTATTCACAAGTGCTTCTCTTTCCTCCAAACGCTTGCTACCCCAGAGCCAAAGAGAGTAAGCAAGAGGCGCTCTGAGAAGCGCCAACTTACTATCTGAGAGTATACGTTTGAAGTCCTTGAGAACAGGGGGCTCCTCCGTTAGCAGAAATGGAGCATCACAAAATAAAATTTCATCTGAAATTATTTCTAAGACCCCAGAGAAGTGGAATTTTTGAAAAAGCTATTACACTCCAAACTGCTATCATGGCCTTAGAATGCAAACCATCCATCATTTTTTGAGTGATGGTAATGGTGTTGTTAAGAGGATGTATATAAATTTTACTCTAGATTGAAAAGACTTTAGAAAAAAAAAATTATTCAGCAGCTTCTTACCAGACAGCCACATGTGAGGCAGGTAGGCGTAAATCCTAGGATATATATGCAAAGAGGGACCCTAGTCGAAAATTTCTCTGCCTTCCAGCTCTCCACGCTACTTAATCGGCACACCTTAGTGCTTAAGAGAGCTAGGTTCAGTACGGACAGCCTGGGATACATCCTGGTTCCCACACATGCTAGCTATGAGAGGGAACTTGGCCAGTCCCTACCTTCTGGATGCGTTCCTTAACTGTCATATTATAAAAACAGTAGTGCTTTTTCCACCAGGTCATTGTTAGTTTCAGTGAATTACTAGACTTAGGGTACCCAGTGTAGAGAAGATACTCAGTGACATCAGTTGCTATTTTGTGACTCTTGTTGTGGTGTGTCCTCACAAGCTTGACCACAGGGCACCTTTCCTCTGCAATGGCTCAGCCTTGGGTGGACCTTAGCCCCGTGTATCACAGGGGTAAATGGGCTGCATTATATTCTAGAAGCACATGGCATCCTTATGGTCTAAAGGGCTCAGGAGGAAGTAGCTATGGATAAAATAAGGTGGGTTGGGCACCAGGGCCACAGCAAGAAAACTCACTGCACAACAGGCTGGGAAAGTGCTTCAGCCTTTTTTTAGGACCCTGCTGTAACTTTCCTTGTTGGTAGAGAGATTACCAGTCTCCTTCCTTCTTGGAGTTAGCAAGAATGCCAGAAGCCAGCAGGCTTCCAGAGCAGAGAAAGGACCCCAGTTTCATCACCCACAAACAGGACTAATGCTCATGGATCTGCAATTCCTCCAAGTAATTCCTGGTGGGAATCGTGCCTCCTGCCTTGGGTCCTGAGCTGGTCCTGGGCTGGAGGAGGCTTTTAAACAAAGTTGCAAAGGGCCCCAGCCACTCAAAATAATCTACATTCTCCTTTCCGGAAGAGCAACAAGCTCGCTCTCATCCACGTTTCTGTTCTGACTTATGCTACTTACTTGAAAACTGAAGATCAATGATTAAAAACAGCCAGGTTGCCTATAGGCAGTGAACGAAGCAGGGAAAATTCCTTAGGTACAGTGAGAAAGCATGTTCCAACCACATCCCTCCCCCAGGGTTTATTGGTTACCGATTAAAATGATAAACTACAAGCCAATAAGTTCTCTTGTCCAAACTGTCTGACATTTGTGCTAGAGTTATTTATTTTGTCACTTTTTCCATGCCGTTCCACCAGGCTGTGAGGTAGTTATTGTAGTCATCTGATCCTCTGTACTAGATTGGAGAAATGGGGCCCATACCCTGACTTTGCTGATTGGGTGTCGGAAGCACTTGTTGTCTCCAGTCTCGCTGAGTGTTATGGCATAGAACTGTCCTTTGTTGAGGTAGGTCATGGGGCCCTCCCCCTGCTTCTGACGGAGAGACTTGGTAGCTTCCAGGGTGTACTGAAACGTGCCACTGCAAACAGAAAACAAACAGCGGTCAGACTCACTCCTGTGGAGATTTCACATGGCACTGTGTCACGACAGTAGCGCTTTTGTATGAATATTAACCACTGTGTACTCTACTTCAGAGACAAAACACAGCATATGGCAAAAGAGATGAGACCAGACCAAAGGTCATTGCCGGTATAATGTATATGACATTTCCAACAATGGCCCATAAACCAGATGGTTTGGGAGGGCTGAAAGTACATGCTGTAGCCATTGTGCAAGTCTGTGCTGGGAGAACCTCTCCAGCAGACCTCAGCTGACAATCAGGTACTGTCTGCAGCTGAGGAATGGAAAGAACTGGCCACTTTTATCCTAACAACAAACCAAGTGGGCAAACACTTTGTCCAGTTCATGCATATACCTAACCTGCTTGCCTAACCTAGATAATACAAATCACTGTATCACACACTTTGAAATGTTTCCAAATGTGCAAACCAAAAAGTCAAACATTCATTACTAAGAAATCAACTCTCTTATAGGGTGGGTTTTGTCTTTTATTCTTTGTTTATTGTCTCTTGGTTTTTAAGTCTGCAAAAGAACTCACAAAAGGGTTGCTCTGAATCCAGAGTTTGCAAATCATGGTCCATGGGCCATTTCACTGCCTGTTCATAAATAAAGTTTTATTGGCACACAGCTCTACTCATTTTGTTCACATACTGCTTGTGACTGTTCACACTATACAGCAGAGTTGACTAGTTGTGTTAGAGCCTACAGCCTGCCATATCTAAAATATTTACTATCTCATTACAGAAAAAAAACTACAGATTTCTGTTCAAAATAGTTTTCTTTTTAAAAAAAATAATTATTTATTTTATTTTATTTTATTTATTCATTTATTTGTTAATTTGACCAGAGAGAGACAGAGGTTGAGAGTGAGAGAGAGAGGAAGTGAGAAAGCAAGCCACGCCAAAGTGAGAAAGCAAGCCACCAGATTCAGGACTCAAACCCTTGTCGGCCATGTGGGAGTGTCCAGCGCCCTAACCACTATGCCACCTGCTGGTCTTCAAAATAGTTTTCTTTATATTTTAAAAATATACTAACTCTGACAAACCAAAATCACAGATCCAGCTGTGAAGAATATAACAACTGGGGCCAGTAGGTGGCTTGGTGATTGGGGTGCTGGACTCCCACACGGCAGACTGCAGTTCAAGTCCTGGTCCTGGTGGCTTGCTTTCTCATTTTCCTTCTTTCCCTTTCTCTGTCACTCTCTAGTGAGTGCACATGCCCTATAGCAAAATTAAGTATATTAATAATAATAAATAAAATTAAATAAATACTTCTTAAAGGAAGAATATATCAACTATTTAAAATTGACACAACAGTATAAAGTACGGTCTTTTTGGTTTCACATGTTTGTTCGGAAATATTTCTGCTACATAGCAGGATGGCACCCAGTGGTGATCCAGTAATTTCCTTTTTGAATGTTGCAGCCACTCTGGAAACCTGTGTGATTGTCTTTTTGTTTGTTAATTTCTTCCATGAATGAGGGTGACAAAGAGGGAGCGAGGCAGAGATAGAACTCCCAATAGGGTCTTCTCACCCTGATCCACCTCTAGCCTTTGCCAGCCCCGGGTTATGGGCAATCTCGTGCTGGGGTACTCAGGGAGGTCTCTGGGTACAAACCTGGAACCCTTCTCCCATGCGAGTCAGCCTCCCAGAGGGTCCTGTTCTACCACTGTGCTCCTGTCCAGCCTCTACGTGGACATTGGCTGAATCATCAGAAACTCTGCTTTGGGTCTATTTTTTCATCTCTTTTACTTCATAGTCTTTGAAAGACTGAGAGCAGGCCACCTTCTGGCATGGTGATTAGGCAGCTGGGATCCACATACGTGGCCAACTAAGTAGTTCAATATTCAGCCCTAGCAGCTTCACAAACACCATGTGCATGAGCATGCATGTCCCCAGTCCCAAAAGGAGAAATGGAGGAGATGGGATTGCTGTGTGACCATGCCCCATAGGTGGTGCTTTCTCGCTTCCTCTGTTTCTTTCTGGTGAGCATACATGTCCTCGGCAAAATAAAAGACTGGGAGCAAAGATGACTCTCAAAGTTCATCTCCTAAAATGGCCTGTTTACATAATTACAGGGACTCTACATTAAATAGGTCTGTAATTTTTTTAAACTTTTCAGCAAAAAAAATTTAAAGGACAAAATAATATTCCTTTTATATGGTTAAAAAAAATCTTAAGTTAGCAAACTAAGAAAATTTCAAAATATGTGTCTTAGAAAAGATGGGAAATAAATCATTCACGACAGAACCAATTTAATTGTCATTTTGCTTAAGAAAGCAATTTTGATATAGTACTATTGAAGCATAACATTTTAGACCTGGGTAAGATATTAAAAATCACATAGGCTGGGGCCAGCAGTTGGCATGGTGGTTAAAGCTCTGGATTCCATATGGCTGACAGTAATTCAAGTCCTAGACCTGGGGGCTTGAAAAATCATGCCAGGCATGTGTGGGTACATGACCAAAATTCCAGGAGGAGAATGGAGTAGGGATGCAGTGTGGTTTCTCACTTTCCCTCTCATCATCTCTGTCTCTCCCTGGCAAGCACATGCACCCTGTGTCAAAAACATAAAAGAAAAAAAAAATCCCATAGGCCAGCAGCTTGCACCTTGTCCAGGGCACAGACTGCTTTAAATACAGGAAGAAGCCCAGCCGCCATGGTAGAGTGGTAACACTAATGCCCTGCAATGCTGGAAGCCATATGGCGACCACTCTGACTACCTTCCTAAGGATTGTGTTTGATTCTCTCTGAAATGGTGACATCACTAGTGATTTTTTTAAGTAGGAGAGATGAATTCCTTATTCTCTCTTGTCTTTAGGTACAATCAAGACTGAGGTCTTTAAACATGACTCCTCTACCTCAAATGTTCTTCATCTCCCTTCTTATCCCAGCAATCATCTACTGTTCCAAGATTTAGCTCAATGTCACTTCCTGTGAAAACATGCCCCCTGCCTCACACTCACCCCCTCTCCCCAGCACACACTGAGGTACGGAGTCCACTCAGCTCTCTGGTTGTGCATGTCTATAGCAGGACTCACCACTTAGCAAAATACTGCAATTCATCTGCTATCACATTGTTTCCTCCAAAAGCCTAAGGCCCTCTTGTAAGGAGAGGCCATATCTTATCCCCAAGCCTGGTCACACTGCTCGTACATGGGAGGCACTGAGTGCATGGTAGCTGTGCAGAGTGGAACAAAGGGAGACAAGAGCTTGGCAAGGGATCAGTTGTATTGCAACAATTCAGGAGAAAGTTTTCAAGAGTAAATTGGAGGGACCAGCGTAGTTGATCGTAGTTTGAGTCCTGGACCCGGCAGCTTAAAACTCATGCCAGGCACGTGTGTGTGCATGCTCAAAATCCCGAGAAGAGAATGGAGGAGAACGGATTGTGGTATGGCCATATCCCCTGGGGGGGATGGTTTCTCACTTTGTATCTCTCTGGCTCTCCCTGTCTCTCTGGTAAGAGCACATGCCCTATAGCAAAAATCTCTCTTTAAAAAAAAAAAAAAAAAAAGAGTAAGTTGGAAAGAAGATAACAGGTAGAAGAGGTGAATTTAGCGCTTAGCAAGTACTGAAAACATTTAACAAGAAGGAAGGCAGACTCCTACACCTTTAGTTGGGGGCGCTAAGAAAATAGTTAGCTATGTTATTAACCACAATAGAGAATAAAAGCAGAAGGCCAGGTGTAAAACAAGTGGAGAGGGTGAGAAAGAAGAGAAAAAAGAAAGGCAAAGAGCTCCACTTTCCACCTGTTGGGTTGGAAGCATATGAGTTTGAGGTTCAGAGGAATATCTAAGAAGGGATGTGCAGACAACAGAAAGAAGTAGAAAGGGAACAGGCCCAAGAAAATTAGTCAAGACCAAAAATACTGATGTAGCAGTCATTTGTATAAAGAAGAAAATTGAAGACAAAGGAAATCAGATTTGTCTATAAATTTATCCCCCCCCCCCACAAAAGGCCTAAAAGTATAACTTGGATGTGTCCCCAAAAGAGAATCAGATAATCCATCTTTTGAGATGTTATCTCCCGGTAACCTACCTTGCTGTCTGGTCGTACATGTACTCCTCAGCTCCAACTGAAGCACTCCGAAATTTCTGCAAAATTTCAAAGTCATCAAAATTAAAACAAATAGGTAAATCAGTATTTTAAAAAGAGACACAGAAATGTATTGTTTGTTCCTTCAAAAGTAATATTATATTTTTATTATTATGTTCCCAAATATAGTTCAAATATTGAGTCATCAGAAAAGTCAGGACGCATATTTCAATGTTTTTTCTATGCAAAAATGCGTCATGATTTTACCGACGACCTGATAGTTACCATTTCTTCACAGACCTCATGTGTCACCTCAACACTGAGAACTACCCTCAACTGAAAATAGTTTGGGGCGCTGTTGGTGAGTCACATGTCTGCAGATATTCCTAATGCATTTGCAGGAGCTGTAAACCGGTTCTTGGAACACATAAAACATCTTTTCCGTTTTCCACGATCTCCAACGCTTACTTCAAAAGTCGAAGTCTGAATTAACGGAACATGAACCGCACAGAGGCCACATAGCAATGTGCAAAATGTTGTGAAAAGCAATATCGCAGAGCAGTTAGAGGCATGGTTTCTGGAGCAACACTGTCTAGGGTCAAATTTATTTGCTACTGTGCAAAAGGAAATAAAAACCAGGTTTCCTCCATCTGTAAAATGTCTACTTATAATGATGAGAGGAGTGAATGGATTAATAAAGTACTAAGAACAGTGCTTGGTACATAGTATATAGTGAACCCTGTGCATGGGCCTTAAATACTATTTTATAGAAACACCTTGGCCATACTCAGAGCCTTCCTCCAAAGAGCTTTATTATCACAATATTTTAAGTATAGTGTTTTGGAGAAAACTGTTTAGTATTACAAGTGAAGAAGCCTGGTTCCAGAGATGTCCAGCTGTTGTATATATAGTATAAACAGAATACACTTTGCTGTATTTTAGAACCTTTTCAAAATTAGCTGCTCAGAAGTCCTAACTCTTAATCCGAAAAATAAATATAATTTATATATAGTGAAGAAAAAGCACCTGGTTGACCACACACACCTGATTCTTCCACTGTGAACTTTCTTCAAGTTTCTTTCTAAGAACCAAACTTGGTGTCTCTCATTTTCATGCCATAAAGTTCTCTTCTTCCACCAGCATTTCCTTTCTCAGGAAATGGTTTCATCCAGCTTTTCCAAACTTTCTTCACCACCCCTAACCATCATCCTAGAATTCAGCATACCCTGATATTGTAGTTCCTACATATATAGTCATGATTCCTCTTTTTGTCCTTGTTATAAATTCCCTGAATCTCAGAAGGTGGTCTTCCCTTCAAAGCTTACTCAAAAGAATCCTGTGAACATCGTACAAATACTTGTTGACTGGCTGAATAATCATGACAGAGGACCAAAGTACAGATTTGTGTTTCTTTTGCAATCATCAGGCAATCCCCTATCCACTCAATGGGAATTTCCTGGGGCTTCACCATCTGCTTGATGCCAGACAAAATACAGAAATGATATGAGATGCTGTCTTGGCCTCAGAGAGATAAAAAGCAGTTGAGGGGATGGAGTAAGTTCTCATGAAAACAACGACAGAAGAAACTAAAATACAGCAAATAATGATGTAAGAAAGCCTACGTCGAATCATTCATTCATTCATTTAGTCATGTGTCCAGAAGAGAAAAGCACAGAGTAGGCACTGCCAGGAAAAGAAGGTCAGCAAAATTATAGGGAGATTTTACAGAGATTATGAGCTTCACTTTGACCTTTAGAAACTAAAGATAACCTGGCTCAATTAAAAGAACTAAGAAAAGGCAATCCGGGTGAGAGAGGATCAACATAAGTCAGTACAAAATGAGGGACACTGGGTCAGCCTGTAGACTAGTGGTTAAGGACGTCACATACCATGCGGTCAACAGCAGTTTGAATCCCAGGCCTGGAGCCTGGAAAAACACACTTGTCACATGGCGCAGATGCCCCAAATCCCTCCAGGATGGAGAAATGAAGGAGAAAAGATTGTGGAGTGACCACATCCCACTTGGGGGAAGGGGAAGTGTTGTACTCTTTCTTTCTCTCACTCTTTCTCTCTGTTTCTGTATCTCTCTCCAGCAAAGCATGTGCCTTCTGGCAATTAAAAAGAAAAAAAAAATGATAGATACAAATATGGTGTGTATATGTGGCAAATCACACTGACTTGGCCTGATTATAATGGAGGGAGCTGAAAATCTAAGTCTTTGCTGGTGAAGATAGTAGCACTAGCCACATGTTCTATTCAACTTTAGGTTGATTAGAACGAAGTCAAGTTAAACATTCCATCTCCTAGTCAATTAGCCACATGTCAAGTACTAAATTGCTACATGCGGCTAGTGCCACATACCACATTGGCTAGCACAAAATTAATTTTTCATCATTGCAGAAGGTTCTGTTGAACAGTACTATTAAGAGAAAGGCATACACACTTACTATATTTAGGAATTAGGATATTTTGGAGTAGAAGGGTAGTTGTTTTGTTTTTGTTTTTGTTTTTAGCATTTAAGATAGTGACTTTGAGCCAGAATAAATGCATTTTGAAGGCCTTTATTTGAAAGAATATGCAGTAATCCATAACAAGCATGGTTAACCCAGCATTAGTACAAAGGGCCCGAATGAATGTATTGTGCGTGTCACAGAGCTCTGCAGCCTGAGGAGCGGCTAAGCCTAGAAAACACACTGAACTTGTAAATTCTAAGGTTCTAACCCCCCAGGTAATGTGAGAAGGTATGGTACTAGGAGTGTTCAAACTCAAAAATACTGTCCACTGTGTGCTGACTAAAATACGGACGCCTACTCAAATGCACGAGTTCACATGGACAAGAACGGTGGAAAAATAAAAGCAGTACATATGTTACGGATATGGATATTTACTATTTTTTCCAAGCTCACAATGTTTTCTTTAATTCTGTTATGTTATTGTTATAATTTTAAAAATACTAAATGATCTACCAGGAAAACATCACAGTCCTTTAGATGAGATCTGATCATTTGATGGGTTAGATGGCCCTAAACGATTTAGTACTGAGAATTAGAGCCAAAGTGTTTGGGTCATTCTGGCTACAATGACCAAGTTTATACAATCCCTTAGAAAATAATACTGTTCTTGGGGCCAGCAGGTGGCATGGTGGATAGGGACGGTGGACTCCCTCATGGCCAACCACGGTTCAAGTCTCGGACCTGGTGGCTTGCTTTCTCACTTCCTCTCTCTCTCTCTCTGTCTCTCTGTGATCAAACTGGAAAATAATAATGATAATAATAATAAATAAAGTTAAATAAAATAATTCTTTTAAAAAAAAAAGAAAATAATACTGTTCAAAGGATGCCAAATGGCAGTTAGACAATCAACAATGCTATACCTTGCTGTGATTCTTTACTATCATTTTTAAGCTCAAAATAGTGAAAAAAAAAATTTATATATAGATAGATATGAGATTATCCTTAAAGGACCTTAGATGTCAAACAACTATAAACATATTTAAATCTTGAATATTAAAATTCTAGGTTTCTTCTTGGGTGGGGACAGGAGACATCTAAGAATCTACCATTTGGCAAAAAGACAATGATCCTTTAACAGTGGAGAAATCAGATCTAGATGAACAATTCCATACCTTTGCTGAACCACTAATTTTTTAAGGTCCTATCATAAATTCATTCACTCTCTAAATAAATATTTAGTGAACATCTACTTCACATCAAGCACTGTGCCAGACACTGTGGATACCATAGTCAACAAAAAAAGAGGTCTTTACTCTCATGCAGCTTCTGGTCTAGCATGAAACAATATTAATGAAATAATCATTCATCTGAAAAAACCGCAAGCACTCTGAGAACAGCTGCAGTTTCACGATGGCACACTACAGTTGAGAAAGCAAAAACGGGCACCACTGACAGTCGACCTCCGACTTCCTAGCAGAGTGCAGTGTTCCCAGGGAATGCAGACAAGGCCGACCGGAGATAGCACAGTTTCCAGCAGAGCCCCAGAAGACAATAACACAGCTACAGAAATGAGTGATGTGTCCTCCTGAGGGACTGTGGCTTTCTTTGCAAAAACATCTTCATTCTGCTATGTTTGCCCCATCCCCCAAACAATGATTCTTGAGATACTCAGTTCCTGGGTGGCTCTATCTCTTGATGGTATCTAATCCAGAGCTGGTTGACACTCCATAAACCCACCCTAATTCACCCAGCACAAGGCCAAACACTACAAAGATCTCCTCTCGACTGACTCTCACTGACTGAGATGCTCACAGGACCCCTTTTGGAAGCAGGCTAAGTAAGTATAATTTTTACTTCTGATGTGTTCATGATGCTCTTTGGTCAGTGGTCTTAAATACGAAGGAAACTGCCTGTAGTAGGAATTGGGGGAAAAAAGAGGGCTTCTCTTAGGATGTCATGCAGAGTACAAATGGTGGTAAAGAATCTTTTTTCTTTCTTTTTTTTTTTTTAAAGAGAGTTTTGCCATAGAGCATGTGTGCTGGCCAGAGATAGAGAAACAGCGAGCAAGATATCACCCTCCTCCCCCAGGAGGGATGGCCATACTGCAATCCCTTCTCCTCCATTGTCCTCTCAGGATTTTGGGCATGTACACACATACACACCTGGTGTGAGTTTCAAGCTGCAGGGTCTGGGATTTGAACTGCAGTCATTCATGTGGGGGTCCAGTCCCTTAACCACTCTGCAACCTGCTTGCCTCATAACGAATGTTCCAGAACAGCAACATCCAATAGAACTTGATATAATGATGGCGATGTTCTATACCTTCACTGTCCAACATGGTAGCCAATCACCACATGTACCCTTAAAATGTATTACTAGTTCATGAGATGGAGAAAATAATCTTTAGTTTTATTTCATAACATTGCACAGCTCAGTTTTGGAGCATGGACCATCATGTGCAAAGGTCCTGAGTAGGGAGGGAGCACATCAGACTTCCAGAGCCCAGAGCCCAGAGCCCGATACAAGAAGTGGGAGAGGGCTGGGAGAGGCAAATGAGAAGCCGACTGCTGTGCCTTGGAAATCTGGTAAAGGTGTAGATGTTAATT